GGGTGGCTGCAAGCATGCGTGCCACCACACTCTAGCCTGGGCGAAGGAGTGAGACTCCAACTAAAAAAAAAAAAAGCAAGCCAGAAAGAAATTCTGCCACTCAGAAACAATCAGTATTAACATTTTGATATGTGCCTTATTTTGTTGTTGTTACCAAATTGGAAGGACAATGTAGGTAACATTTTGTACTGCTCTTTCTCACTATTGTGACATGCATATTTCCCTGTTACTGATTATTTTTTGTTTTGAAGGGGAGTATTTTGAGCTGTAAACCTGAGGATCAGAGTTCCCAAGCAACATGAGCTGAGGTGTATAGGTTGCACAGAGCAGGAATTTCCATTTTTTAATAATTCATTTCACAGATATAGTTGGATACTTACAACCTTGAGAACAGAAAGCTAAGACCTGACTCTGTCTTTTCAGAGTTTATAGTATAGGATAAAAGATAGACATTCATTATATAATTATAGAAATAACTGTAAAATTTCATGTAGGATAAGTACTATGAAGGAGAAATGCGTGGGGTATGAAAGTATTTTTTAGGAGGAGATAGTAACTGAGGTCTGAGAAGACTTGCTGGAGTAAGAGGTAAATGGAGTATGACTCTGTAGGAGTTGTCTAGTAGAGGAGACTGTGAAGAATATTACAAGCTGGGCTTGGTGGCTCAGCCTGTAATCCTGCGCCTTTGGGAGTCTGAGGTGAGTGGATTGCCTGAGCCTGTGGGGTTCGAGACCCACCTGGGCAGTGAGACCTCATCTCTACAATAAATCAAAAAATCAGTCGGGCGTGATAGCACATGCCTGTAATTCTGGCTACTTGGAAGGCTGAGGTGGAAGGATCACCGGAGCCCAGCAGGCGAGGTTGTGATGGCCAGAAGTGGCCACTGCACTACAGTCTGGTCGACCAAGTGAGACTCCACCTCAAAAAAAAAAAGAATATTACAAGCAGAGGGAACAGCATGTGCAAAGGCCCTTAAGTTGGAGGGGGCAGAAGGAATTGAAAGAATGTCAAGAAAAACAAAGTGGAAACATTGGCCTGACATGGGGTAGAAGAAGTATGAGGGCTGACCCTCTCATAAGAGCCACTAGGAACTATTGAAGTGTTTTCAGTCAGGGTCAGGCAGTGAAGACCAAATTTTCTTTTCTTTTCTTTTCTTTTCTTTCTTTTTCTTTCTTTCTTTCTTTCTTTCTTTCTTTCTTTCTTTCTTTCTTTCTTTCTTTCTTTCTTTCTTTCTTTCTTTCTAAAAATAAGGGTGAAGAGGTTGGAAGGCAGCAAGAGTAGGTATAGGTAAATCAGGTCTGGATAACTGGTTGCCCAAGTGTAGTGAAAGGGTGATCGCAATAGTCCAGGCAAGGGATGTTGGAAGACTTGATTAGGATGGTGAAGGTGGAAATGGAGAAATGTGGGTGGTATTGAGAGATATTTTGGGAGTAAAATGTTTAGGACTTAGCATGTAAGGCGAGGTAATATGTAGACTCCGGAATAACTCCCAGGACTTTAGCTTATATCACTTGATGTAGGGAGAATTTTTCCTCAAGATAAGAAATACTGAAAGGAAACAAGGTTTGGAAGGGACAGTCATAGGCATTGTTTTGGGGAAGAAATTTGCTAGATAGGACAATTCCAGAAGTGCTGTGTTTCATCATACCTGTTGCTTCTAGAAGTGGATTTTATCATGTTTACATAACACGCTGAATGGTCTACTTTTAAAATGTAGGTGGTACTGGGGAGAAAGCCAACACTATGCCTGGATATGGTTTCTCAATATCTGTTTCAGGTCGCTCTATTACACTTGCTGGACATAAAACACTGGGCAAGTCACTGGAAGACTCTGTGGGCCTTAGTTACCTTGTCTTTAAAATTAGGGTAATAAAATTTAGTCCAAAGAGTTCTTGTGAAGACTAAATAAGAGCATTGATATTCAAGGAATTTGTAAACCTCTGTGGGCTATACAAACACAATACAGTATCATTCCTATTCCTATATTTGTTGTTATTATCACTACCAAAACTTTAATGGTATTATTATTAGGAATATGCTATTTAATGTTTCTCTATAAATTCTTAGGGGAAAAAAAGGTATGATTGAAGTCTAAATAAATAAATATACCACCCAGGAACTTGAGATGGTGGCCCTAAACTATTTATAAGTTTGTGTATTTACTTGAATTCAGACATTCCCGACATGTAAATTATGCGGAGTCTGTGTCAAAGCAGAGCACTCTGTGTTCCTAAAAAGAATTATCCTTTTTTCTGAATCCTTTACCTTTTAAAATAAATCTCATTATGGAGTGCTGACATTTTCAGTAAAACCATTCAACCAAAAGCTGCAGATTTTTTTAGTCTAAAAACAAGTCTGTTTTATTAGGCAGCAGCTTATAACTTACTGCTAAGTAGATGCAATCTATTTAGGGAGGTTTATGTAGATATCTGATAAGACATTTCAGATTCCCCATCTCTTTCTGACTAAAACAGAATGTTAAGCAGACTATCAAGAATTCCCTTTTTCTCTTGAAGTAGAGGAGGAGTTTAGTATCATTGTATGTTAGAGTGGATGGAAACTATAGAATCAAGATTTAAACCAGTTACCTTGAACTTTATGCTGCTTCCTTTCACTATACCACTAGCTCTACTATCATGTTTTACTTGAGTGACTTTGGAAGTAACCTCCAAAGGGTTGTGGTGAGATGTAGAATTAATTCTCAAGAATACATAGTGGGCCGAGCACGGTGGCTCAGTCTGTAATCCCAGCACTTTGGGAGGCCGAGACAAGAAAACTGCCTGAGCCCGGGAGTTCGAGACCAGCCTGGGTAACTTAGCGAGACCTCGTCTCTACAGTAAATCACAAAAAAACTAGCTGAGCATGGTGGTATGCATCTGTAGTTCCAGCTACTTGGAAGGCTTACGTGGAAGGATCACCTAAGCTCAACAGGTTGAGGTTATAGTAGCTGTGACTAGAGTGAGACTCTAACTCAAAAAAATAAATAAAAAGAAAAGAAAAGAATACACAGTGGCTGACATATATTGGTGCCTTAATTAATGGTTTCACCCTTATTTTCCTCCTTTTTCTGTTTCCCTCTCTTTCTTTTTCCTTCATCTCCCCTTTTCTCTCCTTCAGTCTCCTCCAGTTCCTCCTCCCGTTGATTCAACTTCTAACTTCATCTTGTGTCTGTCTGTAGACTACACTGAGAAGTGGCATATAACAGAGTCACTTAGTGATGTAGGTCCCTACTAGTAATAATAATAGCTGATTTATAGAACCCTGACTGAGAATCATACAATCTTGTCCACAAACTTTTGAGGTGAGTACTTAGTATTATCTTCATTTTGAAAATATGAAACCTGAGCCATAGAAAGGTTAAAAGTCCAATATTACAGCATTAGTAAGTGACAGAACTGCAAGTTTCTACCTCCATCCTCATACCACATAAAGACTTCCAAAATGATTATAACTAGCATTCATTTATTCACTCAATAGGTATGTATTTAGTGCAGACTATTTGACTAGAACTAAATAGATTGATTAGGCAAACTGACAGTCTCTGCCCTTATGAAACACACACACACACACACACACACACACACACACACACACACACACACAGTCTCTCTCTCTCTCTCTTTCTCTATCTCTCTTTCTCACAGGATTGACATTCATTTTCCTACTCTCAGTACTGCATATATATTCACAGGATTGGTCAGTGCCTGCATGGCATCCATTGCTAAGCATTTTATATTTTATTCTTTCTCATAAACTGTGATAAATGCCATAAAAGAGAAAGGGTCAGTGTGCTTTGAGAGAGTGTAATGAGGCTATGTTTATAGAGGAGTTTAGAAAATTCTCTTTGAATGAGATGTTTGAACCCTGACCTGAACAATGAATGCTCATAATCCTGGGTAGTGGCCAGATCATATAGACCTGTAGTCCATATTAGGGACCTTGGGTTTGATCCTAGAAGCAAGGGAATGATTTTTAAAAAGTGAATGTGGGAGTGATATAATGCTATTTGTAGGTTAAGAATTGCACTGTGGTTACTGTGTGGAGAATGGCTGGAGTGGGATTCCCATCTACATGATAGATTAATTCTATGTGGCCAGAATTCAGACATGAATCAATCAAAAATCAGCCTTTTCAGTCTTATAGGGAAAACAAATCATATCTTGAAACAATTTTAATTTAAGTCACAAAGTTCTATATTCTAAAGACTATATTAGAGAAAGCAAAAGTGCTATTGGTCAGAGGAATTACAGACCATGTTCACTTTCTTTTAATAAGAAGTCATTGTTTTGTTTCCTTTTGTTGTTTCTTCTCTTGTAGAGAAATTCTTAACAGCATTTTCCATGTGTTCCCTGAAAGACTCTGAAATCTGAAGCAAATCAATCCAGTAAACACCTACTCTCTACTTTGCCTTTGACTCATAAAAATTTCACTTTTTCACTATATTGCTACCACAAGAACATGGTAGAATGAGCTCTAAATAATGATGGCTTGAAGGAGGGATGGTGGCTTGCATTCAAGACTCCATTTTATCTCCAGTCATCAATGTGACCTTTGGAGATTAGCATGAGCTAGTTTGTAGTGAGTAAATTTTGTGGTACAGATTCAGTTACAACAAAGAGATGCCTGGGTATCTGTGGAGGAAGATGTTCTCTATGAAGTGTCCTAGAGAACTGGGATAATGTGGGAAAGTATGAATTAGTTGACTGCCAACACAATACAAACTTGGTATTCCCCTAATGGATTCCATCACGGGTAGTCAATCACCTCTGAGCTCTATGATAATAAAACATTTCCTCATCATCTTTACCTTCCTTTCTCCTTTAGTCATGGGACCAAATAGGGAAGGTAGTGGTCCTAATATTTATCAGTCTCTCTTTCTTCTGAGCTGATAAAACTTCACTGTTTTCTGTGTTAGGAGAGATGTTTCAAGGAATAGCATTGTCTTTAGCTTGGAAGGGCTATCATCAACTTTTTTTTTTTTTCTGTTTTGATTCTTACAGGATAGACCACTGGAACAATGAGACGGAGAGGATTTTGCTGGTCACAGACAAGACTCTCTTAATCTGCAAATATGACTTCATCATGCTCAGCTGTGTGCAGCTGCAGCAGATTCCCCTGAGTGCCATCTATCGCATCTGCATGGGCAAGTTTGCCTTTCCTGGGTTGTCAATGGACAAGTGAGTATAATGTCTTAGATTTGGGAAAGTAGTGCAGTGGGGGTGGGCATGCAGAGAAAGCAATCGCAAAGTTCAGTACTGTAAGCTGTAAGAACCCAGGGGAGAATGGTGAAGTCCTCAGAGTTGAAATCATCAAACTGTCAAGCTGCTTCCTTATGTCAAGCACTAGATATACAACTTTAAATAAATTTGTATGTTAGTACAAGAACTACATTTGTATGTTAGTATGAGAGCTACATGTAAGGTGGAAAAAGCCATGAGAACATGAGGCACATGTGCTCAACCTAATTCATATGGCAGATAATTAGAAAAGCTTCCCTGAAGAAGCACTTGAGCCAATATTTGATGTTGGATGGGAATTAGCCAAAGAAGGAGCCAATGTTGGAGACCATTCCAAGGAGCTGGAGAAATATATAATACCTTTGGGGCCTGAAATGATTCTGTAGCTCAGTGGATAGAACCCAAAATGGCTAGTAGCTCTTCTTATAAGAAATCTCTTTGGGATCCTCCACGGAAACTTAGAGGGAATAGAGAGAATGGGGACTGGTGGGGGGAATCAACTGTCTCAGACATGTTGGCAATTACCAGAAAATTTGATGAGGTCTACGTAGGAGAATTGCTGAACTGGGTGCGTTCTTGAAAAGAAATTTCTTTACTAAACATTTTAGATCTAATCTAGAAAAGCAAGTCTTCCTCTAGGGCTTAATATGAGATCTTCCTATTGAATGGGGTGCTCCTTGAGGACACGTGCCATTTTTCTTGTCCTCAAAGCATACAACATTGAACCTGGCACAGAGTAAGAACTAAGAAACCTTTGTAAGATACAGAAAAAAGCACAGCTTGATCAAGTAATTGATTTTCCTTATACAAAGTGTATCATATAAAAAGCATATTTTATATACTTTTTTCATGGATGTAAGAAGTGATTAATGGATTGTTTATTAACCTTAAAATTGATCAAGTTTTCACTAATATATACACATACTAAAAATATATTTAAATATCAAAAAAAGTTTATTTTCAAGGACTCTCCTCTGCAAGTGATAGTCAGAAGTTTCTTCTATATTTTGATAGAAATAGACTATAAATATAAAAGAATAAGAATGTCTCTCTGTGCATATATGTATGTTTATATATACACATATATTTATTCCATATTATCTTACCCAATGAAAGCACACACCATAAACTACTCTTCCTCATGCTATATTATTCAGTGATATAACTTGGGGACTTATTAATCATATGTAGGTGAATCTCAGTCTTTTTAATAGTGCAGAATATTCCATTTTTAAGCCCAATCTATTTATCCAGTCCCTCAATGATATATATTTATTTATACTTTTGCTGCTATATAGTGCTACTACAAATATCCCTGCCTATTGAACTTTGTACAAATGTGCAAATGTATCTGTAATGTAGAATTCTAAGTCATAAAAATATTAAATAATAGATATTGCCAAATTGCCTTCCAAACAAGTGATAGCAATTAATGTTCCCATAGTATATGAATGTATTCTTTCCCAAACACTTTCACCAATATCATATATTATGAAACTTTTTAACTTTGTCAGTGAGACAAGTTAAAGAAAAGTATTTTATTTTTGCTTTAATTTGCTTCACTAGAATTTGAAGGAAGTTGAGTATGTTATTCTTAGGTTAGAAAATCATTTTATTTATTTTTCTGTCAGCAGCTATTTATGACCATAACCCATATATTTTTTCTATTGGGATATTTATTTGTATTGATTTATAAGAGCTATTTATATATTAAAGAACTTAGTACCTTTTCTACCATATGTGTTGGCAATAATTTTTTCCCCAGTTTTGTTGTATCTTTTTTAACTTTATTATGCTATTTTGATGACATTTAATTTTTAAGTGCCAAGTATATCAATCTTTCAAGGCTGATAATAAATTTATGTCTTTTTGAGATACACTTTCTTCATACTGTAATTATGAAGTAAATCACCAAGTTTTTTTCTAGTAATTTTATTTTGAAAACCTGATTTGTATTTCATCTGAACTTTGCCTTGAGTAAAGACAAAGAAATGTAATCAACTTTATTTTTTAACCAGATAGCAGACTAGATGTCTCACTATCATATATTTAGTATTCATTTTTGCCCCATTGATTTGAAATGTCACCTTTATTTTGTTACTTTTCTATGTATATTTGTATCTATTTCTGTATTCTTTATTCCATTTTATTTGTTGTTTCTTAAAATATGAGGTAGTTTTAATTATTATAACCTTATAGTATGTTTTAATATCTGGTAGAGTTACTCTCCATTCATTAATCTTTTCTTTAGAATTGATATATTTATTTATTTAAATATTTATTTTTTAATCAGCTTCCCTAACTCTTTTTTTTTTTAAATTTATTTTTATTAGGATTTTCACATATTAAATCAAGTTTTCATTCCTAAGATAAACATATTTGTGGCATATTATCATTATTTGGCATTGTTAGATTTAGTTTGCAAATGTTTTCTTACAGATTTTTATGTCTGTATTCCTGAGCGATATTAGTCTGTTATTTTAACTCTTTTGTAATGTTTTTACCAGTCGTTAGTATTTGGATTATGCTATCATCATAAAACAAATTGAGAAATATCCTTTCTCCTTTATTTTCAAAAATATTTTTTGTGTTATCTCTTCCTTGCCCTGGATATTTCTTGGTGGGACAGTTTTTTATAATAAAGTTAAATTTGTTTTATAAATATTGCAAGACTCATCCTTTTAAAATTTTGTATTAATTTTAGTAATTTGTATTTTTTAAGTAATTTGTTGTTTTTTTGAAGCTGTTATAGTTGAAGGCATAAAATTGTTAATACTATTCCCTTATAATCCCTTTCATGTCTATAAGATATTTAGTTACATCTTCTTTCTTTCCTCATATTGGCAATCTGTGTCTTTTCTCTCTCTCTACTCTTTTTTTGGTGATTCTATCAATTTTGTTCATTTTAACAAGAACATGCTTTTCACTTGCTTAATTTTTACTATTGTTTCTCTAATTACTATTTAGTTCATTTCTGCTCTTTTCTTTACTATTCCCCTGTCTCTACTTACTTTGGGATTACTTTCTCTTTTTTTAACTGCTTAAAGTGGAACCCAAGTTATTGATTTTAGAATTTTCTTTTTTCTTAAATGAGCATTCAGAGCTATAAATTTGTTTAAGCACTGCCTTTGCTCCATCCCACAGATTTTTTTTTGTTATGCTTCTATTATCATTCAAACATAGTTTCTAATCTTTCTTGTGAGTTTTTTCTTTGACACATGGATACTTTAGGATCTGTATTGATTAATTTCCAAATACTATGGATTTTTCTAGATATCTTAATACTACTTAAAACATACAGTTTTTAATTTTTATTCCTGTAAGTATTTTGAAATTTGTTTTATGAATTGAATTATGGTATATCTTTGTGAATTTATTACATGTACTCAAAAATTTATTCATAGTTTTCTGTAAATGTCATTTGGGATATTGTGCTTGATAATGTGTAGATTATATATATCTTTGTTGATTATTTCTTTTTAAAAAAATAGTTACTGGGAGAAGTGTTAAAATCTGTTACTATGGAATTTTCTAGTTCTTTTCTTTAATTTTATTAACTTTTCCTTTGTGTATTTTGAGAATCTACTATTAGGTGCAAATACCTTTGTGATTGATATGTCTTCCTAATGAATTGAGTCTTTTTTCACTATGAAATGTTCCTCTATTTCTGGCAATACTTTATATTATAAAATCTATTTTAAAATCTGTTAGTATAGTAGGCTCTTACCTTTTTTTTTTTTTTTTGAGTTGGAGTCTCACTCCCTCACCCAGGCTGGAGTGCAGTGGCATGCTCATGACCACCCCAGTGTCCACCTGCTGGGCTCCGGCGATCCTTCCGCCTCACCCTTCCAAGTAGCCGGAACTACAGGCACACACTACCACACCAGGCTAATTTTCAATTTATTGTAGAGGAGAGGTCTTGCCAAGTTGCCTGGGCTGATCTCGAACCCACGGGCTCAGGCAATCCACTCGCCTCGGCCTCCCAAAGTGCTGGGATTACAGGCTGAGCCACAGAGCCTGGCCCACTTCATTTTTATTCACTTTTATTCTTACTGTTTGCATAGTTTATCTTTTTTCATACATGTAGTTTCTACTTCTTGTAGAGATTACATAGATGTGTCATGCTTTTAATCCGTTTTGATAATCTCTGTCTTTTAATGGGAGTGTTTTTACATGTTATGCAATTTTAATATAATTGGAGTTAAGACTACTTACTATTAGAGTTAAGATTACCTTCTACTTGTCTTGCTTTCCTTTTCTGTTTTTCATTCTTTTGTTCTTTTCACTCATATTTTAAGTTTTTTCTTAATCCAATTTCAACCTGTTAGATTTTTAGTTATAACATTTTATATATATATTCTGTGGTTGCTTTAGGGCAGTGTTTCTAAACCTCAGCAATATTGGTATTTTGGACAGGATAATTCTGTGGTGTGTGAAGCTGTTCTGTGAAGATCCTTGGCAGCATCCCTGGCCTTTATCCAGTAGCATCCCTCTATTTTAATATAAAGGCTTAACTTTTGCAATCTATTTAGAATTAATAGTATATTACTTCACTAAAATGTAGAAACCTTGCAGACATGTAGCTCCATTTACACCTCGTCTATCTACATTGTCCTAAATGTTGCAGTCATCATATGTATGAATACTTAGTGTACTTTAAGTCTTGCTAGATGATGTTATAATTTGTGTTTTAATAAATAATATGCATTTCAAAGAAATTTGGATCAAAAGTTGTCTTACATACCTACTTAGATGTTTACATTTTTGATGCTAGTCATTTCTTCCAGAAAATTTAAGTTTCCTTTGGTGTCATTTTTTCCTATATATGAAAATCACTTTTTTGCATTTCTTGTAGCATAATCTACTAATGATAATCTTTTCTAGTTTTTATTTTTCCTAAAAATACCTTTATTTAAACTTTATTCTTGAAGAATATTTTA